TTTTAAATAAAATTATTTTAAAATTTACCATTAAATTTTAATAAAATGATATAATTTTAATATTTTTTTCTTAATTTTTTAAAGGTCTAGTTGATAAATATGATAAATCTCTTCTTTGTTTTCTAATTTAGAGTATATTTGGTTCAACTTTCAAGTGTTTTAATTTTTTTGATATTATTCATATTTCATAAGTTTAAATTTTTTTCTTAAAAACTTACATTTAAAATTTTTTTTTAATCTTAAAAAGATCTCAAAAAGTAAAAGTTTAAAAATTTCTAATTCAAGTTTTTCAGAAACATTTTTTTATTTACTTTTTACTCATTTTTTTTATTTTTAAAAATAACTTTTAAATTTTTCATCTGATAAAAATTTAAACTTATCATTTATAAATAGTACAAAAAAAAAATAACTCTTACAAATTAACCCAAACATACTCTAAGTCATTTTCACTATCTAAATTAAGATTTTTTTGTTTGTTTTTTTTATCTCATCTCGAGGTTTTTTTTTTTTTTCTTTTTTGTCCCTAATTAATATTTCTTCTTCAAATTTCCTATCAGGTCATATCAGAGACTAAGGTAAATGAACTTGTTTTTCTTTACTAAAGAAGCGTATCCAAAAGGAAGAAAAAAAAATATCTTCAACTTCTCCATAAAAACAAGCAAGAAAACATATACACTTTCCGCTTTTCATTTTCCTGGAGAAAAAGGAAGTCTTCTCTTTAAAGAAATAGGTGGAACCCCCATCCCTCAAAGCTCAAAAGCCTGTGCATATAGAAAGCTTCTTACCCTCCACATGCATCGTTTCTCCATTTCCATTGGAAAAACTGTTCCAGATATATATTCAACTTGTTGATATCAGAAGTGCACCATGTTCTATCACGAGATATTGTTAGCTTTGGCCTGTTTGATTATGGTTCTGTCGGCTATCGTGGGAGTCTTTTCATTTCTTTTATCTTCTGATTAAGTTTAGCTTTTTTGGCTTGGTAAGTAACTGTAAAAACATCATTCATAAGATTTGATCATCATGCTTGTGTTATAAAGCGACACAAGATGCTACGGAGAAATAGGCTGGCCCTATGGCATCTTAGAGGCAAAGGTACTTGACTAAAGCTAATAGACACTGTAATTACAAATTATGGGAAGATGAAAGTGGAATCACATAGAGTAAGGTAACATGCATTAATATTTCTGGTTAAGTGGTTAAGTGGTCAAGGAAAGCAAAGAGGAAGGAGGCCCCTTATGTTGGATTTTCATGCCCTAATGTTAGAGAAAAGCATATATTCTCCGCTTCCCATGTCTTGTCGTCTTCTTCGGACACCTTTAAAATCTTTGTAACTTTAGACCCCCCACTCTCCCTCCCTTTCCAAGGGTTTTGCCCAATTTTTGACTCAACAGTACTCTCATAGAAAAAGCAACAAATGAGAGTAAATAATTAGAACAAAAGTTCTGTGTACTTCAAATGTTTTTCTTAATTTCGTTACTCGAAGAAAGTTATTGTGTTTAGTTATTACAGTCTTGGAATCTTGATTCTTGACCATAATTTAGAATCATTTTAACATATATCAATTCCCAAATCTCTTGCATTACTTTGTAACTTAATTTTTTTTAAGGTATGATTAAGCTCTATCAAATAGAAATTGCAATTATTGGGTAGTTAGTAATGGGTAATTAAAGTAAATTTTTAGATATATATTTTTATTTGTGGTGGGTGCCATTGAAAATGGATGAGGTGGAGGTTTGACCGAGGGTTGACTAGAAAAGACTAAATAAAGGGTGTTCGGTTTATACAAATATATTTGATTAATGAGGATTCTAATGGACCCCTAAAAGTCATCAATCATGGAATATGCTTTTTGGGAGGGATATAAAGAACTCCATCTTTAATTAAAATAGGTTTAGATTAGGGATTCATAGATCGGTGCACTAATCATCCCTCTTTTGCTTTTGGAGTTTACCCTTTTACCATTAGTATATAATTTCCGTGGTTAATTACTATTTAATTAATGTAAAATGATTGAGAGACAATTTCTTATACAACCATATGTCATTTAATAATTCATTCTTTTCATTTTACTGGACTCGTGATATAATTGGTGATGTTATTGCCATTATCTCAATATTAATATCACACTTTTCTATCTTAATTGATTATTATATCATTTAATTTATTAAAAAACAAAAAATGTAGGATTTTGAGAAAAAAAAAAGTAATGTAAAAGTATCATAAGTAATTACGTTAAAAGAATATAGCATTAACTATTTCGGATGTAGTATTAATTATTTAGGATATGACAATAACTCCATCATAATATTATATATATTCATTCATTTAATAACATATAAAAATTATAAATAAAAATTGTCCATATATCATTCTTTTTTTATTTAGCAATTAAGATGCCTTTAAGTTAATTTGCATGCATTTTGAAACTAATGCCTTTTTAATTCAATCAAAAAAGTACGTCACTTACATTAAAATTAAGAAATTTATATGAGATTATCTCTTTATTAACCTTTTTAGAGAATCAAATTTTAATTAAGAAGATAAAAAGTAAATTTTTTTATTAATTAAACCATAGACAACTCCTTAGATGGTTGTCCATATATGAATATTGCCCTTAATTAATTAATCTGTCGTCAGCTCTAATTCAAAATCAAAGAGAAGGTGATTTTGAGTGGGAAATTCTTCGTACGGAGCACAAAGTCTCAGTTAGTGGAAAATTAATCGATCCCTACTAGTTAGGTGTCGATCCTTGATCTCCTGTGCGGTCAAACTAGCTTTTCAATTGCATATTTTGAGTACGTTT